TAAAATCACAGTGCACACATATAACCTGTCTTTCTCCCTGAATTATTTTTTCTCCCCAACATTTTTATCTTCTAACACAGAGTATGTTCTTTTTAAAACTATTTTCTGCATGTTTCATCCCTTTAGACTGGAAATTAGTTCCACAAAGACAGAATTATTTGTCCATTCTGTTCACAGGTTCTCTGTTCCTAGCTCTCAGACCATTACCTAGATAAACAGCAAGAACTAAAAAAGTATTGTTAAATGAAGTCAAAACCCCTGAAATTAAGTTTCTCATTTACAAAATGCAGACAATTAAGACCTCAAAGTATTTTCAAGTAGTGGACATTAGCCAGAGGTAAAAGCCAAAATCTTTTATTCAAAGTACTCTGCCCACACAGAAAGGGACCCTCTACCTAAAATTAAGCATCAAAAGGTCTAGGCTACCGCCTATACAATATTCATGTAGAAAATGTTTCTAGGAAATTCTGACAATATCTTCAAATAAGAATCACTACTGGAATTATATCAGAAAAAAATTTAAAAACTGCAATATTAGGGATTTTGTAATACATTAGTAATGAACTAAACTTGATTTATGTGATTTTTGAATTCCAAGTACTATCTTTAGAAATCAACTCTAATTCTCCAGTACAGCTTTCTATCATTCCAAAACCCACTTGCCTTATTTAACTTCAGTTTAAAATCTTGGATTCATTTTAATTAACTCTCTGTTTTCTACCCATTATTAATAGCTTTCACATTCTATTAATTTCCTATAGGAAACATCATAACATTTTTTAAATGAGCATTATCATTTCCCTACATTCAAATGTATTAAAAGTTTTTCTTGAGCCAAATTTCTAGCCTAATGTGGACACAGAATTAAGCATCCTTTGTAAATTTCACTATGTCACTATTCTCAAAAATATATTCCTCAGCACTCACTAAATACATACTACTTTATATATGACAGTAGACTTTCTCAAAGTAGTATCTGAAGTACCTCTTAATCTTAGGGATGATAAAGATTAACTACATAAGGTTGGGGATTTTGCTCAGTGGTAGAGCGCTTGCCTAGCAAGTGCAAGGCCCTGGGTTCAGTTCTCAGTTCCGGGGGGAGGGAGGGGGCATTAACTATATATATATATATAAATGCGTTTGGAGGGATGGCTCAGCAGTTAAAAGCAAGAGCATCTGCTGCTCTTGCAGAGGACCCAGGTGTGGTTCCTAGCACATCAAGTTGCACACAACCATCTGTAACTCCAGTTCCAGGGGATCCAATGCCCTCTTCTGATCTCCAATAGCACTGTACGTACATGGTACACATATAGAAAAGCAGGCACATAAATAGTATTTTTAATGGCATAGTCTTTGGTAGCACATTTGCTTTGGTTTCGTAACTATTTGATAAAATAGCCGGATGTTTCTCTGGTAATCAAAGATATTTAACACTGCTCCCTCATGTCTTTCATATAATGGTTTGGTTTGGTTTGGTTTGGTTTGGTTTGGTTTTAACCTCCAAATTACTCTGTACTTTCTTTTCTATTATCATCTTGTATGGTAGGGCCTTGACTCTTTAATAGTTTTCAAAACAATATGCATGGTATTCTGCACCACTCTTATGATCAACACTAGGCTTTTGTTAACAAGCAGCCAGGGCTCTTCATGTGCTCCTTTGGACAGATCTTTATCATTCATATGGTCAGTGAAAAATGGCCTCAACAGCAAAGCCAACATGCATCCCAACAAAGACAGAATAGGGCCAAGACTAAGTCTACGTAATCTATATAAGTGAACACCAATGTCTAATTCAAAAGTAATTCAGCCAGTGTCCTGCCACTGGTCATTCAGAATGTAGTCATAAATTAAATTAAAGAATCCTAAGTAAAACAAAACAGATACAAAGTCAAAGTAACTTAACTTCTTTTTCTGTTCCCAAGTGCAAATGCTACATAGAGCTGAAGCTATCACTCAGTGGCTGAATACTTGTGTGACCTTCATGAGACTCCAGCAAGTGTACACATGCGCGCACACACGCACACACATACACACACCAGAAAAACACTATACACAGAATGACATTAACACTGAGATTTAGGAATCAAGAGTCAAAACAATATCTGAAACAAAGTAGGTCAGCTTTTTGCATTGATACTTGTAAAGAAAAGCTAAAATATATTCCCTCAACAAAATTAAAAGGAAATGCAAGAGGATACTTACCATTAAAGCCCTGGTAAGTATTCCTGGAAGCAGAGTGTATGTAATCTACGAAGACATTCAATAGAAAGGAATTAGTGCAATGTTAACAAAACCCAAAATCATACTCATCTACTTACAATCAATTTTTAAATGTCATTAACTCAATTACCAAAAAAACTGTGGTACAAATAATTACAAAATCCATTTGAGAAAACACATCACTCCTTCACTGCCTAATGGCAATGTAAAAACAGTTTATAGTCCATATATGTAACTGCCAAAAGAGAAGACCCAGTACTAATTCACACAAAGTAAGAAAAAAGGAAAGCATATTATGTATCAAATGATGCAAAAAGGGAGATACATTTGAGAACTCATGGTATGGAACAGAAATGTTTCAAGGTCAGCATTGGTTTTAGCACTTAATCTGTTCTCTAAAGACTTCAGGAGCTCATCTGAAAAACACACATGCATATATGTATGAGTGTGTGGGCTGCATCCATCCAAGCATAATGTTAAAGCCTTTATTTAACTCTACAAATAAAGACTGAAAGAACAGAATTTAATACAGAGCTTCTGGAAATAACAGAACCCTGGCACAAGACACAGGATCAGATTCAGATACACTCAAATTCTATGGCCCAACTGCAGCAGTGGCAGCTGAGGATGGGCAGTTAAGATGTTATTATCACTGATATTATTATTGTTATTATAATGATAATGAAAAGCAAACATGCCAAGTTTACCGTTATTTTTCAATTCTCTACAGAAAAGGCATTTCCTTACTGACTTACTGTTCCCCCTGTCCTCCTCCCACTTGGCACACACACACACAAATAAACACACACACATACACACACACACACACACACCCCACAAGGTTAACTTCGGGGACACCACGTATGTTGGCAGTGTCATCACTTTGTTATGAAAACATAATTTATTTTTTCTTTTCAATGTCAACTCTGCCTACTACAAATAGTTGTAATTTAGCGTCACCTATATCAGAATGAGTCACAGCCCAACACTAAAGCACAAACTGGGCAGTACACTATTCTGAAGAGCTGGACTATTCCAAAGCAACTGCAAAGTATACCAAAAAGGGTCTCCTTTCCTGTACTTATATTTGACAGCCTTAACTTGAAGCAAATCAAAAATCAAAAGCTCATTCAATATAACATGAGCTAAGATCACATCTTCTTCAATGTTAAAGACCATTTTTTTTTTTTTTTTGGTGGAGGCAGAGGCTTCCTTACAAGAAATGAACCGGTTTTATCTAGAAATACCTAGTTCCTCGAGATGACACTCAAGGTTCATCCCACAAACTGTCCCAGGTCTCCCTAACACTGCCACTGGTGGATCACGTTATCTTGACATTAATCGCTATATAAAAGTTGAGCCAAGGTCTGAAGACGCCGAACTAACTGTACTTCACGGCCCTGGACAGAACGGCTGAGAGAACCGGCGCAGGAAGGGCTGAAAATCATCCTAACGACGCCGTTTATTTATTCAGTAAGTCCAACACGGGCTGCCTGCCGTGCACAGATCTAGCTGAACGTGAAGGGCACCTGGGGCTTGCTGTGGACAGGATTCGAACTGAAGCAGCGTTCACACGCCAGCCCCGCCACCACCCCTAAAAAAAAAAGTGCCCTGGTGCACGGAACTGCTCCAGACGAGGTATTTCCAGGCAGGTAAATGGGGGTGAGTTATTAAACAGCCCCGCCGGCTACGCGGTGTAAGAACTTGCAGGTTCCGGCTCCGGGGGTGGGGATTGGGGTGCGGGGGGATGGATGGAGCCCACCCCGATGGAACGCTTCACACTCGCCTCCCGCGGAGACGCCGAGGGTCGGCCGAGCCCGGGGCGAGCCGTGAGGAGCGAGGGCTCCACCCGCCC